GACTGCTTTGATGAACTCAATGATTCATCTGTCAGCAATGAGAAAACTATTTAAGAGTGGGAGAAATAATAAAATAATGTCAGAACACGGGGTCTACAGTGGGATATGCCCTAATGTTTAAGATATAAGTTTATTATCTGAGTATAAATTTTAAGATCCACAGACCATATGGGAGTAAATCAAGAGTCTGGGAAGTTGGGGAACAGGCAAAACTCCAGGGAAATTCATATCGATGTAACTTCTGGAAGACAGTACTAGGATATGACTAAAATTTATTTTTTTCTTCCAGTTTTATGAGATATAATTGATATACAACACTGTGTACGTTTAAGGTGAACAGGATATGACTGAAATTTAGTAAGCAGAAACCAAATCAACTATATGATTCTGTATTTGGAGAAAGATCATGTGCAACAAGGGGGCTTATTTAAGCACAGGAATATATGAAAAGGAGAGTCAGAGGAAAGTGTTGATAGTTCCCACCCAAGCACTGTCTGGAGGAGAGGGAGTCTTGGCGAAGATGAATGGAAAAAAGAGCTTTCTTTGGCAGAGCCATCCCCGTGATGCATAAGTGTACTTCAAGTTTCTTAGCTGAGAGACTCTTCTTAACATGCACCAATGCCCTTGCTCTGACTTCAGGCTCACCACACAACCTTCTGAGGTTGTGGCTTCCCAAGGAGTAGCTTGTCAACAGGGAGAGAATGAGCTGGTAAAACTGACAGAAACCTCTAGTACCCCTGAAGTTTGTATTTCTCAGGATAAATTTTTCAGTTGTCATTCCTTTGTGAGACTTAGCTTCCCTTGTGGCCTTCTTACATGGAGAGAATGCAAAGATCCATGGGTTTGGGCATTCAGATATAGATTTATGTATGTCTCTATGAATGGGAGTCTTTCCTTGACAGAGGCATCTGCTCTCATCGTACAGACAAAATCAGGTATTGATCATGAAGGGATGAGAACAAGACTGAACTGTAGATGCAACCTTGTCTACAATCTTGTCAGGGAAGCCAAGTAGCTTTAGCTTAGAAGACAGCCTTGTGCGTCACCATTTCAGAATTGTACCTCTATAACGTTCACTTAATGTGAAAGTGAAAACTAAAGCATGCTGTGGCAAATAGGCCCCCAGCACCTCAGTCACAGCTGAACAAAGGATTCATATCCAAAGTACTTAAAGGTCTCCTGCAAATCAACAATAACATCTGAAACAGTTTACATTTCTCTCTGGGAAAAGAAAGGAAGTGCATTTTACATTTTACATGCCCTGTCATTTTCCCCAGCAAAAGGGTGGGCATTGTGCCCAAAACAGACCAACTCAATACTCTCTTACTGAAATTTAAACCTTAAGCAGAGATAGAAAACCAAAAATCAGTGGAAGTATGGCATCCTGAAAAGACCATATATCAATTCCTTCTACCTAGACACCTCAGAGCTGATGCTGGTCTTCAACATTCGTTTAAGTTAAACAGGTTTGCTTTCTGTTGCTTGCAATTAAACAAAATTAACTAATACACAACACAAAAACAAATAACACAATACAAAAAGTAATACAGCTTTTTAAGATAACAATCTTCTATAATTTATTTTTTTCACCCTCCAAAATTCCATTAGTGTTACCATCTGCTGATCCTTTTCTGCTTTTGGATACTTTATAAATCACACATCACATGTGACCATATACTGATTTAAGCCAAAAGGTTCTTTCTGGCAGTGGCTTCACATAGTCTTTTGAAGGCTCGTCTGAAGAACTGCTTAAGGATTTTCCATTTTTGCTGTTGAAATATTATGTCAGGCAAATAGCATGTCCTTAAATAAATATTTGTTGGTGGATTTATAACGGAGAGAAAAGTAGATTTTAAATGCTAGTCTCGGGCTTCCCTGGTGGCGCAGTGGTTAAGAATCCGCCTGCCAGTGCAGGGGATAAGGGTTCTAGCCCTGGTCTGGGAAGATCCCACATGCCGTGGAGCAACTAAGCCTGGGTGCCACAACTACTGAAGCCCCCGCGCCTAGAGCCCGTGTTCTGCAATAAGAGAAGCCACCGCAGTGAGAAGCCTGCGCACCGCAAGGAAGAGTGGCCCCCACTCGCCGCCAACTAGAGAAAGCCCGCGTGCAGCAATGAAGACCCAACGCAGCCAAAAATAAATAAATAAAATAATTTTTAAAAAAATGCTAGTCTCCAGGTTCCTTGGTAGGAATTGTGGGTCAAAATTACAAAGTAAGAGAACTGAAAGTGTTATCATTCCCATGGGGTTTAGGAAGTTTAAGAGAGGGAGTGGATCCAAACAGAAAAGTTCTGACAGCCTGGGAGAATGATGGTCAGGGGTTATACAGTGGAATAACTGAAAAATATACCAAAGGGGAGAGATATTTTTTACTAATGAGGAGCGGTAAGAGTGGAGCTTTTGTCCTTGAAGGCTGGCTGAGTTGTGAGAATGAGTTCTTACTGGAAAGCCACGTCAATGACACTGAAGCACCTGCCTCTTTTAAGCTTTACATACTCCTTAGTTCTTTCTAATGTATATATTCAAAATAAATAAAAGCCACTTATATAAGTTCTTAGCAGCCAAAGATTGAATGATAACAGTTGAATCTGCGAGTTCTGTTAGTAAGGTTTCATAAATAGAATTCACTTGCCTCGGAGAAGCAAATAAAGGGCAATGAAAAGAATGATGTAAGGAGATGATGGCAAAACAAATAAGGTAGGGGTTTAGAGAGATGAGCTGTAATACTGGTTTGTTTGGTCTATAAAAGTTTGAGGAAGACCAGAAAGCTGTGACATGTTCTTGACTTCTGAATTTTCACCAGCAAGGCACTCTGGGCTTCCTGGCTCACCTCCTGAAAGGGCCTCCCCCACACTGGGGCCCCTCACACAGGGAGCTTCCTGCTGGGGTGTCAGATTTCAGCGTTCTAAGAAAGAGGCTGCCTGAAGGGACTATATTTAGAGTATGACTCCCCACCGGGGACAGCTGAATGTCTGGGGACTAAGTTCTGCATACTTTGTCCCTGAGTTCTGGGATTATTCTGAGGGGCTTGTATGGGTGGTGCAGTAAAATTGTAACAGAAGGCAGGGAATGGAAAGGACTCTTTCCCCTGGCGACTGCTTGGGATCCTGTAAACCGTGCCTTTTGTGAGAGAAAAATGACGGATCTCAAGGGTTGTCGCAGTGATTTACAGTCACCCACAGACTCTAACTACTATTTCCACTGGAAAATGCTGGACACTAGCCGCTGCTAGGGGGACATACAGTGCACGAATGACAGATACCAGAGATATTTCTCCAGTGTAATGATGAAATGAAAATTCCATCTACCAAGTCTCATTTTCATCAATGGGATAGCAGGGAATCCTCTAATTTCTGGATGATTTATAGGTTACACCATGAAACTTCAGAATAGATTTAAATAAAGACATTTGAATGAAAAGCAAGCTCATCTGTGAAGTTACTAATTTGTAAGATTCATCTAAATTTGGGGTCTGCAGAAAGTCTGTCCTTTGAAGCCAGAATGAAAGCCATCCAGCAGTCCCCTCTGACGATCTCAATCGTGTGACGCCTAACACCAGGAGTTCAGCCAGGAAGAAGGGATAGTGGTTCACTTAACTAAACTGGTCACAATTAAAGCACTGACCACTTCACTATAGATTCATTTTATCCGTCAATTTATAAATCATATTGAAAGCACACTGGCTTTGTTTGTAATGATATGTTTTTAAATTTTAATATACTGCTTGAAAGCTGCTATTTCCTGTGCAGTCAGAAGAAAATATTTTCAGTGTGGTATAAATTAGCTTAAATCGATGAGGCCTCCTTATTAACTAGGAAATCTTGTTATATATACGTATATATATATATATATTTGTATTTTCTGATTACAAAATAGTGTAGCTTGAATCAATAAAAAAAGGAAGGGCCGACGAAAGCGAACATAAATATATTAAAAATACTAACAAAAATCTCACTGCTACTTGGGCTTTTCTTCCCCACCCCTCCGCTTAATTTTGGTGCAGAGACTGGTTGTGGGAAAGGGTAAAAATTAAGAAAGAGAGGACAGGAACTTCAGAGCCAAGGAAAGGATAAGACATTTCCCCAAAAAGAAGTATAAGTAATGATAGACCCAGGAAAAGATGCTGCCCCTTCCTGTAATTAGAGAAAGGCAAAGGCAAACACCAGAGAGCCACGGTCACTTCTGGTTTCTGGTATTGTTACAGAGGAAAAGAGTGACAGGGCCCAGTGTGATGGGGGGAGGTACGGGGCAGGCTGGCGCCTGCCGCACTGCTTGTGGGAGTGGAAATTGGGGGCCAGAGCTCACTGGTGACGTGGTCGTCACGTGACCAAGAGCTGCCTAGAGCAGAAGTACTGCTAGTCGCCTCCGTCTGGGTACCAGCCCCCTATCACACTGCAGGCGTGTGAGGGAAGAAGGAAAGTAGCCCCGGACCGTGCAGATCGGTATGAGCGTGGGCTCTGCTTGGAGGGAGATGGGATGGGAGAAGGCCAAGAGCGCCACGGATCCACGTTCGGGCCGATGGGGGCTGTGTCCCCTTCTCGCCTACTTTCTAAATACCGCCGCCCCCCCCCATGCCCATTTTAGTAGAGAGAACTGGCGGACTTCGGGCGGCGGGTGAGGGGAGTGAATGGCTGGTACAGAGACTCCGAGGAAAGAAAGGTTCCACAATCAGGGCACTCGTGTCCCGAGTGCTGCTCCGTCCACCAAGCACTCCGTCCCCTCGGTCCCCCGTCTGTCTGCAGGTTTGTAGATCTGTTGGCCAGTAGGTCGCTGGGGAAAGTCGCGGCGAGCGAAGGACCAAAGTGCCTTGGGACCGTGCAGGTCGGTGTGAAGGTGGGATGAGCCCTGGCCCCTGGGTGGGGGTGGCGGTGGGGATGGCGCAGAGGGGGTGCTGGGATCGGTGCGGGCCGGGTCCGAGTCGCCCCCTCCCGGCCCCTTCTTTCTCCACACCCCCTCCCATTTCAGAGCAGGGAAAGGGGTGTGGCGGCCTTTGCTGGGGAAATGGCGGACGCCAAGGGGGGTGGGGCGGGGAAGCCCGCGTTAGGAAAGTCAGGAGGGTGTGAGAAATATTTTAAACTCAAAGGCTGGAAATTCAGAAAAGCGGGTACTGGGACCTGTGTTCTCAGTACTGATCCATCCACTACACTTTCACTTCCCCAAAGGCGGCTGTCTTTCCATCTGTCCTTCTGCCAGACTGTCTGTCCGTCAATCACTGTGGAAGGCGCACTGACCACAGAAGACAAGAGAAGGAGAAGGAATTTACCTGACTTTGGTAGAGGTTGGTGGGAGAGACTGCCTCTGAGTCTTTGGGGGTGGGGGTGTGGTGGAGGAGACTACCTGAGGGTTAGCCTCTCCTGTCACCCTCCTGGCTGTCACAGCCCAGCCCCACCTCCTGCCCTTCTCTGTAGGCCCTGGAAGAGAAATGGTCGGTCCTGAGGGTAGACAGAGGATGACAGAAAAGAACAAAGAAATAGTTGCCAAATAATCCACCTCTCTCAACCAGAACTCAAACTCCACTCTGTCTGCCTGGTGAGGCACAAATCCAGGCACAGCCCAAAGTCCTAATGTTATTTTTCACCCGTAGATTCATCACAAGAGAGCCTCAGGAGCCTGGGATATAGACTGAAGACGTCTCCCCTCCACCATCATTCAGGTGGAGCCTTAAGAACACTCTTCATTCAGGTGGAGCAAGGCCCTCTCCTGTCCTGCCCCCAGGCTGGCACGGACCTGAGCATGGGCCGGGCTCGGGAAGTGGGTTGGATGGCAGCAGGACTGATGATTGGGGCAGGTGCCTGCTACTGCGTTTACAAACTAACCATAGGAAGAGATGACAGTGAGAAGTTGGAGGAGGAGGAGGAGGAATGGGATGATGAACAGGAGCTTGACGAGGAGGAGCCCGAGATTTGGTTTGATTTCACAACTATGGCTCGGCCTTGGAGTGAGGATGGGGATTGGAATGAACCTGGGGCCCCTGGTGGCACCGAGGACAGGCCTGCAGGTGGGGGCAAGGCCAACCGAACACATCCGGTAAAACAGCGCCCATTCCCTTATGAACGTAAAAATACTTGGAGTGCTCAAAGCTTTAAAAATTTCAGTTGTGTTCTTGGCCTCTCCAAGTGCCCTTTCATTCAG